TCCCCACCCGCCCACCTGCAGGGGAGACATGGGGAGTCCTGGTTATCGACTGCAGTGAGGCCCCCTCCCCCCCCCCCCCCCCTGCCATGACCCACAGCTCCCAAGCCTCCCTCCACACCCCCACCCCATCCACCCAAGAGAAACCCTTGCCTTCCCCCCACCTGCTCCACCTGGAAGAGCTCCCCACAGGCGCCCTGGCCCAGGGAGCACCATGCCTGGGCAGGCGGGCTGGTCTCCTTATCCCTGCTCGACAGATGGGGAGACAGAGGCCCCGAGGAGGCCACATGTTTTGTGCTCTCCAGCTCCCCTAGCTGCTGGGTCCAGCCCGCCAGGCTCCTTTTAAGGGGCTGGGAGTGAGGAGGGAGCTGTCCTGTGACCTGTTATCTGGAAGGAACAGGGGAGATAAGGGGGTTTGGAGGGCTGGGGCAGCTGGGTTGGGAGCAGGTCCCGATGCACACACCCAGTCTCCCCACACAGCTTGGGCCTCCATCTCCCTGCTGCCCCATTCTCAGTCCTGTGGCTATCCCCCTAATGCCACTGCCAGGCCATGTGCTGCTTGGCTTAGTGGCTGCTTCCCCAGCTACCACTCCCTGCCATGAGAACACACAACCAGAGATAGATTGAGCCAGTGACAGGACCCCAGAGCACCATCTCAGAGTGAGCCTGACCCCTAGTGAGATCCAGACAAGGCCCATGAGAACAGACAGACATGGAGATGAAGATAGGTAGATGAGGAGATGGATGGAGATGCTGGCTCCCAGACAGACAGGCATGTAGGGGGACAGACAGGCATGTATGGACAGATGTCTGCAGGGGTGGATGGATAAGGCAGGACATGCAGACACCAGGTTCTTATGTTCTTAGGTGATCATCACTTGATAGTGACACAAAGCACTCGCATGACAGACATAAAGCAGCAGAGTGAGGGACAGAAAGAAGCTAGACAGATGGATGGACCGATGGATGGGTACATGTTGTGGGCGGCAGCACGGGGGTGACAACCCTGAGGCTGAGGATCCCTGGGCCCTACCGCCATATCAGCACAGAACTCGCTGAGTCCTGGGTCACAGCAGCTGGGTGCGGGTGGGAGATTCCCCATCTGCTTGGGGGATGGTGCTGCTCCTGGTCCTGGGGGCCTGGACAGCTCAGAAGGCACAGCCACACGTGCCAACACATGCCACAAGGAGTTCCCAGGGGAGCGGGCCGAGCACTGAGCAACCCACAAGGTGGCACTGTGATACGAAGCAACAAGAACATCCCCCAGCTGGATCCACAGCCTGAGCTCTGGCTGGCAGAGACAGTATATGTGCGTGAGCATGTAATTGGTGTGTGTGTGTGTGTGTGTGTGTGTGTGTGTGTGTGTGTGTGTGTGAGCATGTAATTGGTGTGTGTGTGTGTGTGTGTGTGTGTGTGTGTGTGTGAGAGAGAGAGAGAGAGAGAGAGAGAGAGAGATCCTTGACCTCATTGGTGGAAAAGATGTGTTGAGGTGGGGAGTGAGAGGAGAGAGATAGAGAGAGATCCTTGACCTCTGGGTCAGTAGAACCATGGGTTTGTGTGTCTGTCCATGTGCAAACATGCATAACTCCTGACCTTGGAGCTGGCAGACATGTGTATGCATGTGCATGATGTACCTATCCCTGACCTTAGGGCTGGCAGGGCAGTTTGTGTGTGCACACGCATGTACATGTGCAAACTAGACCAGTTCCTGACCTCTGTCCAGCCACACCATGCCGTGTGCATACATAAGTGTGCCTGTGTCTGTGCACACATGCGTAACCCCTGACCCTGGGTCTGGTGCGTGTGGCAGCTCATTACTGCAGCACAATGGGAAACAGCAGTGTCCTGGCTGCACCCAGGGACACAAACCCGCTCTGCCTGGAGGGATTCTGCTGCAGCAAGGCTGCTTGTGTCATGACCACAGATCAGAACAGGCACCAGACAACTCCCAGCCCTGAACTGGGAAGCCCCTTGCCAGTTGTGGGCTACGCAGAATGGCAGTGCCATCCGCAGTGGTTGGCTGGTTGGCCAGGGGGATCCCCCAGTCTGTGCAACAGGAGGGAGGGGAGCCCAGGTGCAGAGGCTGTGCTCAATAACTCTCAAAGACAAAATGTCCTTTTGGCTTCGGCTGGAACATGACATCAGAGGAGCTCGGCCCAATCGGCGCACCGAGATCTGCACATTTGCACAGCAAGACCCTATTGGTGAGGCTGGCTGGAAATGGTCAGCTGGTTTGTCTGCCACTCCATGGTCTTCATGCAAGGGAATTTAGTGCAGGGAGCCGGGGAGCCAGGGCGCTGCAGAGCGGAGCTAGGCGGGGCAGGATCCAGGGGCACTGGAAGAGCTGGGAAGGAGGGAAGGCAGAGTTAGGAGGAGGGGGTGCCAGAAGCCTAGGGCTGGCAGGATCCAGACTGAAGACACCAGCTCAGCTGTGCTTACACAAGAGCCATGGCAGGACAGACACATTGTGGAGGGTGATGGGGGCAGCGGGTCCTGCTGTGTCAGGACCAAGGGGTCCAGCAGGTGCTGCATATCAAATCCACTTCCATTAGGGCCCTGCTTGCAAAGTACCTCCCTGGCCTCTTGGTACAGGCCCTGTGTTGGCAGCTGGCCTTGGCTTGGTGATAGCTGTGATGGATGCAACACTAGCTCAATGGCCCTGGCAGCCCCAGGAAGAGTCTCAGCAGGTGGGATGCTGTGCTGGGAAACCCCAATGCCTGGCCAGAGTCAGAGACAAGTGCGAAGCTGGAGCAGCTCAAGGAGGGGAGGGCTGGGGAAGAGGCAGCTGTCTGCCCCCTGACAGAAGCCAGGCCCTGGCTACCACACCTCAGCTCATCTGCCTGCAGCTTATGGCTTCCTCCTGCCCACTGCCTCGTGGGGGCCGAGCCAGTACAGCTCTCTTTGCTCCTTGTCCTGCCCACTGCTGCCTGCACCTGCCAGGCTGGGCGAACACTGCCAGGGCTGGGGGAAAGGAGGAGGAAGGCCTCAGCCTCTACCTAGATGTTTCCAGTCATTTCTGGCATTGTCCATATCAGAACCAATCCAGCAAACATCCTCATTTTTCCAATGGGGCAGCCCCTCCCAGAGAGCCGCCAACAGCAAACCAGCCATTCCAGGAGACCCTACAATAACACACCAACGGCTACAGTGGAAACTTCCCCCAAACCCTCACAATCCCACCAGCCTTCCCTATGGACCCTACAGAAACCCAGTCATGCCAGGCCCAGCAGCCCCCCCACCCCTTCCCAGGGCTCTGGGGGCCTGCACAGATGCCCGGCCAGGGGCTCCTGACCTGAGCAGCCTGTTGTCATCCTGGAGATGATGTAGGAGCAGGGGAGCCCCCCGCCTTCCTCCCCCACCACGTCTGGTGCTGACAGCACTTGCTGTCCCAGACAGCTCCTGGGCGCAAGGCCAAGGGGCGCTGAGGCTCCGCACAGCCTGGCTGCCTGCCAGCAGGGCCGACTCCACCTGAACCTTGGCTGCTCAGCCAGCGCCGCAGTGCGGGGACAGGCTGTGCCCAGCACAGAGCACGTGTGGTGTGGAGGGGCTCCCCAGCCCGCCAGCCCTCTGCACAGCACAGAGCCCCCAAGCCTGGGGAGAGTAGCGTGGAGCGATGGGCACAGACAGTATTGAGCACCCTCCTGCGGGGAGAGCAGCCTGGGCAGCCTATGCCCTGCCTGGACCTATATCCACCCCAGAGGAGCTCCCTGAGGCAGGGTCCATACCCCAGGGTCACCCCCACCACCAGGGCCCTGCCAACCTCGGGTCCCTCCCTGTGGGCACGTGAGCCCCTGGGGAATCTGCCCAAAATAGAGCCTGGCTGTGTTTATGCAGGCTGTTTACCAGCTGGGCCGGGGTGGACAGGGGCACGGGGCCCTTGTGGGGAGCTCCAGAGGTCATACTGGGGGGAGAGGGTTTCTAAACAGGGCATATTGCTGCCAGAGAGAGAAACAGCTTGATCCCAGGGCATCTGGGCGTATGGAGATCACTCAAGGTCACCCAGCAAGGCAGGGCAAGAGCCAGGAGAAAACCCAGGAGTCCAATGCACTAGATACCACACCCCTCCCAGAGGTGCTGAAAGAACCCAGAAGTCCGGGTGTCCAACTCTTTCTCAACCCACTAGACACCACACCCCTCCCAGAGCAGCTGACAAAACCCAGGAGTCCTGGGTGTTGGTGAGGGCAGGGGCCTGGCCTCTGTAAGGCCCTCCTAGGTCCGTGCTCCTTTCCTTGTCCCCAGTGAGCGCTCAGGGCAGCAATAAGCCACAGGGTCCACTGCTTCTCCTCCAGACAAAGCCACAGTGAGAGGTGCCTGAGCCTCTTCAGGCTGGGCAGCACGAGGAAGCAACTGTCAGGTGCCACTGCCAGTCACACACACTGGCACCTGCCCAGCCAGGAGGGCACCCTTCCCATATGCCAGTCCCATGAGCAAGCAAGACACACAGCCCAGACATGCAGGCCACAGGGAGAGATGGACAGTGACAAGTCTGTGGAGCTGATCCCCAAGTGAGCATGAGAGAGCGTGAGTATGCCAGAAGTGAGTATTCAAATGAGCATGAGGCACCCCGGTGCAAAAATGTATGGACAAGGGTGTGAGCAGGAGTGTTTGAGCAAACATATGCAGA